TATAGATGTCGATGTAATGTGATAGATGACGAATGAAAGTAAGATGCGAAGTTGCATAGGGTTGGCACATTTGCACTAAGCGACTACCGGTTGACTCTGGGTGTAGTAATTTACAGATTATAATACCCAGTGCGTGCGACGTTTGAAACTAGATGACCAGAACATCGCCTATCATTAAGGATGGATCATTTCAAATCGTGCCAGTAAAAGCAACGAAAAATCAGGGTATTATTTTTCACTGTAACCAAAACTGACATCAGAACTTTGGAGGCCTGAGCTAAGTTTTCAATATAGATGCCAAAGGTAAGCATGCTCTGCTGTGCAGTAACTACCTCTTAGATGTTATCCGAACGTGAAAATTAGTCTACACATTCCATGTGAGTAAACTAATTTATAATGTTCCGATCATGCTAGAGGAATTATAATTACTAATTTGTTGGTGCAGTAGCTGGTCAGGAGCTGTTTACTTCAGCAAAGATCTAAAGGAATTTTGCGAGCCAATCCATATAGCTCGAATTATCTCTCGTCGCTTTTATAATGACTGCAATGAATAATATTTGATAGAGTGCAAGAATTTAGCCCTGAATGATCGCGGGCAACGGGTGCCCATGAGGAATGGATAATTGTTCAGTGGGTCTGAATCGGCAGTAGATACTAATTACAAGAAATGCTCCAATTCTACTCAAAGTGAGAAGTTCTATCTTAAATCGTAGGGCGAAAAATTTCCTGTTTATTGTGTGAACCACAGGTGCCATTGAGGAAGGCTGCTCAATCAACGGAGAAGGTTCATCAGGAATGTTAGATAATGAATTGCCATGTAGTGATTGGTCCCTCACCTACTGTAAAGCATGAGACTCACGCTTTCAGGAGGTCAAATCTGTGACCTTAAGACGTTACCATTCATCACACAAATAGAAGGTTTATGGTTCATTCTCTAGCTTAAGCTCAGTTTCTTCCACTCGTCTGCAAGTGGATGGCGGAGCAAGCACCGAGCAGAAGAATGTGCAGCAGCTGACGGCAAAGCGAATTGTGAGGACACAAATCTAGCCGATCAGATATCCAGCTTCTTTTGTGGATTGGCTAGCTCCTTGGATAACTGGTTCATTATTTACAACTGATCACTTGACTATGGAGTATTATGGTTACGGGATTAGGAAGTGCAAAGATATATTTTTGGTTCAAACCTATTAACGTAGGAATGCTATCTGCCAAGTGGTAAGAATAAAATTTTGCAATGCAAAAATTAAAACAGTTCACTTTCCAAGTTATTTTGCAAAAAGATGTAAAAATTAATCTCATTGAACGACCTCTCCAAGAATATGACCGAGTAGACAAATTTAAGTGATGTTTAGTGGCAGGTAAAAATATAAAAGAATTAACGCAATTTTGGGAATTATCTAAGTTTCTCCCATGAATTACAGCAATATGCCTGTTAAATAGCTCTGCTGTGAATAGGATCCATTGCAATACTTGCAATAATAAAGCCACCTTATAAAGGCAGAATTTGGAGCAAAAAATATTGCACAATAACAAAGAGTACACGCCCAAAATTTGCAGTAAATTTAAAATGCATTTAGCCTGCATTCATGGGCTTCAAAAATGTGAAGATATAAATTGCCTCGTCGCGAAAAGAATGTAGAGCAATGTTGGTAGGTAAATGTCTTCCTGTCTTGAAGTCTGGGACCGAAAAGTAATTACCCTAAACACCAAATATAATTTAGTTGGCAGCTAACAAAGGCTCAAATTTAGTAATTTTTACTATCGGGCACCTCCATTATCTAATCCTTTAAGGTGCTGCATCTCCTGAACTATTTATGGCAATGCCGATATGCAAATATGTTTCATTTAAATTTGTAATATGTGGACTTGGTATTTCTAAAAGCTTTTTTAGGAATTTTGCAAAGTGTTTTATAAAGCGCAGAAATGTGGTTAAATAAATCCCATCGGTTGGTGAATAGTTTATTAAAATGGAAGCATTTGATTTATGGACTTAAATAAGAGTAAAAATAACATATTCCTTCATTTTGATAAAATAATTTCTACATTCCTTAACTCTAAATGCTCTTCCTAAATAGTCGTTGTGCAATAAGACGTGCAAATTGATCGCGGGTTTGCTACTCAATCTTATGGATGTCCTAAAGGTGCTGGTTTAGGGTGCTGTAACATGGAAATGCTTTCTCGCATAGTAAACAATGAAACCATTTTTTCTCTAGCAAAATAGCAGAAGTAATGAATCCAGGCAAAAACTTAAACAAAATTTCACAAATTGCTGAAGAGAAGAGAAAAGAGACATGCAAAGAGGGACATCAGTTCTTGGCTAAAGATATTGCTAAAATGCTCTCGGATTCTTTGTTCCGTGAACTAAATGCTGTTGCTAGCATATTAAGACAGAGTAGCATTGCAGTGCAAATAACAGCAAAGATGCAGTACAGTGATCTAAACTTGCTTCTCATTGACGACTCGAGGCATCACATTTCTTGGGTGGAGGGTTTGACATTATGCAATTTTCTATTTGAAATGCTGCGCAACACAAGCAAATGCCAATGACGCCCTACATTCATAATGATCTTTTGCCTGCAATGACGAACTGAATCCCTTCAATAATGGTATTTCACATTTGCAACAGCATGCCAGATTTATGCCGACTCATATGAAGTAAGCTCCTTGCTCCTACTATCGTCAACAACTACTATGAAGTGACATGCGTGCTTTAACAATTTCGATTTTGGTTGCATAAATAGCACATGTAGCAATATTTACCGTATCCTTACTATAATGCATTCTAATTATAGAAGTTTGCTGCATTAAAGGCAATCAAAATGTCAACTAATCCCAATGAGTATGCTCTATATGTTTGATTAGACGTGCGCTTTTGGAAGAACTCTTTCCACATATCCAGCATTGAAATGGGTCCTGATCTAGTAAATTGGATTTACACTAGTTAGTGGACAGACAACCATGGTACCTGTAAGATAACTAATGTTTAAATAGGTCGATGTGAAATTAAAAACGCTAGGCTGTATTTTATGCAGTAAAAACATAAAAGAAAAAATATGAAGAATAGTAAGCATTAGCATAAAAGCTTCAGAAATACAAATTTTGCTGATAAAAATAGACATTTGCTTGGAAGCAAATGCGGTAGACAGAGAGCAGTCGTCACATTTCCCAGGTCACGCTGAGATAAGAAGTCTAAGTGACTAAGCATTAAAGCGAATGTAAACGAAATTAATCTAAGCTCAGTCACTACCTAAGACAAATCTTCCTAAGCGAAATGAACTTTAAGAGCTTAACAACTTAAGCCATATTTTTACAAGTGTTTTTCCCACAACCCTTGATCTTTGCTTTACTTAATGGAGTTGTAAATATGAGTGTCCTCCAGTACTAGTTGATGCTGCTATTTTCTGTCCCAATGTTTTATTCGAAACCCTACCGCATACCACAACCAAATCTTGTAATGTTTAGCAGTACTTTACGCGTATAGTCTTTTTATTTTGTGGTAACCGTTGAAAAGATTAAGTTAAAAAATGCCTACATAACCCTCATTTTAAATATCCATGGCCGCGTAATTAGTTAGGAAGTTACTAAAATCATAATCACAATTTAGTACCGAGACCATGCAAATCGCATAAACTCGTCATCTAAATTTGCAAGGTAACCTTTGACATGACACGACATGCGTATTAAAAGCAAAAAAGGAACCATTAAAGGGCGGAAACTTTATCAATGCTAGCTGAAGGCACTAAACGAAAAAAGTGAGGTTCAAATGTTCGGGATCAAAAAAATAAGACGATTTATAAAGGACGTTCCCTGCATTATACAAACAATTCAATGTGGCAATTTTGATTTGCGGCCGATAAAACTGATGGAATTCAAACTGCATATATTGGTCAATTCATCAGTCACCTTTGTTGAGAGCCACGCTATCTCATAAACATGTTTGCAACTCACATTACTGTTATATGACGTTGGCATGATTTAAAAATAATGATGAAAAGGTACACAAAATCTATTTTGAAGCACCATTTGCTCTAGCATGTCAGTACCAGCCACAAATGGAAAATGGAGGGTCGGTCTCATTACAACAAGGTAAATTTGAATTAGCAACACTTTTATGCATGTCTACAGTTAAAGATGTCAAATAAATCTAGGTTCATTTCACCTTAGAATGTATTTACTTGCAGTTGCATATGCTGGTGAAGACTTTCCTCCAAATCACACAATTAGTGCTGGCAACAGACCGCTCAGTCAATCATATCATTCAGCGCATGACATCGGACACCACTGCCCTTCTGTGCACCAAGAGACACGGTGAGCTGATTTGTCACTGTAACTAACACCATTATTTTTGTCCTATGCCCTCATACGTGTGAAATGTAATACAAGCGCTTTCCTTCAAACCTTTAAAATAGCCCGGAATCACAATGTGTACTGTCTGTGCTTTGTGAAATGCGAACACCTTAACTTGCTTCTCAGTCACTTTATTGAAACACATTTGCAAATTTGCACCCGTTTCCTTCTTATTAAATCCAATAAGCTCTTGTACTTTGCCATAGCTTTATCGTCCCATGCGAACTCCTACTGAACCTATGCTTTAATGTCATCTGCTGCAGTCCAAACAACAGAGGACCCAGAAGAATGTCTTTACTGCACGGAATGCTACGCGGATTATCCTACGTGGGAGGCAATGCAAGAGCACAAACGTTTACGTCATCTCTGTGGGCATTCACATATCTATTAGGCACATTTCACAATTACTGTTCACGGTTTAACCTTGGTCTCTTCTACTTTGCAGATATGTAGCGCAGGTTATTCAAGTAGGTTTTTTAGTGAGTTATGTGCTAACTTAACGCTTTTTTATTGGAACCTAAGATCTAGTAAGGCAAAGGGTAATATTCGGGTTTAAATTGTATCGGTATTGCAGAAAAGAAGTTACGCAGGCCCGAAGAAGGGATGGATCTAACTGTGCAAAATTAATTTCGTGCTATTTGATTGTTATAATAATGCAAACATTGCATCACATTGCAATGTACAAAAAAAGAAACTGCAAAATAATAAACATTAGCATAGAAATAGCAAAAAATACAGTTTTGTTGCCAAAAACTGACATGTTCTTGGAAGCAAATGCAGCGGACCTGGAAGAGACGTCATATTTCGTAGGTCACTTTGGGATACTAAGCTGAAGTAACTACACATCCAAGCGAAAGCAAAAGAAATTAATTAAAGTTAGGTTACTACTTAATACGAATCATTCCTAGCAAAATGCACCGTAAGCGCTTATTACTTTGCGCAACATTCTTAAAAATTCCTGCCCCAATCCCGTCATCTTCGTTTTACTTGATTGAGTTGGAATTATGACTACCTCAGTACTAGTTAATGCCGCCATTTTTTACCCCATTGTTTTATTCGCAACCCTACCGCATCCTACAACCAGGTTTAAAGTGCTTGCTTATCCCTCATTTTAAATATTTATGCCTGTGCGATTAGTTAGGCAGTTACTGAGATCATAATCATTATTTGGTGCTGTAACCATGCAAATTGCAATAACTCGTCTTCAAAATTTGTAAGAAGCTGATCACTGACGTGACAGGAAATACACACTGAAAGCAAAAAGGAACTTTAGAAAGGCAGAAGCTATATCGATGATAGCTAGAAGCATTGAATAAAAAAATGGAGTTAAAAATGTTCTGGACCAAAAGAACAAAGAGATTTACAAAGGTCATTTCCTACACTATATGAATAATTCAATGAATAACTTAACGAATAATTCAGTGTATCAATTCTGATTTGCAGCCGAAAAACTGATGGAATTTAAGCCGCATTTATTGGTCAATTTATGAATGGTTTGTTGAGAGCCACAATATCACATAAACATGTTTGTCATTCTTATTACTGTTATATGACGTTGGCATGATTCTTAAAATAATGATGAAAAGGTATTGGAAATTTATTCTGAAGCACCGTTTGCCCTAGCATGTCAATACCAGCCGCAAATGGAAAAAGTGAGTGTGGGTGTCAACACAACGAAGCGACTTCAAACAATTTGTCCTCTTTTTCAAACTATCATTTTGTTGTGTATCTACACTGTAAGCTCGTTGCAGATTGTTATGGTCATTGCCCTAAATTTACAAATGGCCTGAGATAAACCATTATTTTTTGAGAAGGCAAAAGAAAAACACAGAAACAGTGGTCATACAATTAGCAGGTAATACTTAACCATGCTATATTTCACTTAATAAGTGTGAGGCTTAAAAGTTATCCGATTGCAAATGTATGTCGTCATCTGCATTAGTTGGTTTATTGACCACAATATTACTCACTCCGTTGGAGTTGCAACTTGGTGTCAATCTTTGATGCTGATATTTGTCTTTCACGATTGCTAGGATAGATTGCGTTAAAATTGTGTTTTCTATTTTCTGGAAATGGCCTTGAGGCTTGTTATCCTGAAGCCCAGTGCAAGGTGTCAGGTGCCAAGAGATGTCGAAGCAGAACACATTTCAAATATTATTTGTAAATTGGAGCAGGGTATTTTCCTGCTAAAAATGCAAAAATGGTGCTGTATTTACACCTCGCGAAATATTGCGGTCAAATTAAAAATTTGTTTGGAATAGTTGGCAGAGAACTCACAAACTTGTTTTGTATTGGGCCATGGTACTTCAATAGACCACATTTACCCAGTTTATAATACTTTTATTTCGGCATGTAAATTCGTTAATAATCCCTGCATTACTCCTGCTTTTATTCTTGATAATCCAAATTTATTTATTAGTAGATGCAAATTGCACATCCTGTAGGAAATTGGG